TGTTCATTGGCTTGCCTGAAGCTGCGTTTTACCCGGGTACTGTATATCTTTTATCACGGTGGTACACAAAAAAGGTAATATTTTTGTTTTCATTTAGTAAGACAGATTTGAATTCAAACCATTCTAGGAGTTAGCGTTTAGGTCCGCTATCCTTTATGGTGGGCTACTTATTTCAAACGCATTCGGTGCCGTAAGTTGTATCTCGCAGCTCCTTGAAATCTCCTATGAAATTCTCTACTCTCTTAGTTGATAGCTGCCGGAATCCTGTCGGGAATGGAGGGAAAACGCGGCATTCGAGCGTGGAGATGGTAGGTGGTTGCATTTTTAAAACAAACAACCTCCCTCACAAAGGCCTAAAGGTTATTTTTTATCGAAGTAAAGCCCATTTTCAGCTTCCCTTCCGTGTCCTCATAACCCTTCCAGGGTTCCATCACAATTGTTGAAGCTGACCAGGACAACACGAATGATTCGTATGCTCTATTTATGCCTGCCCGACCGAGTCTTGTTGAATTATCTCTATGCAGTCCAATGAAGGGGTTTAAGTTGGCCATCAGCGACCCCCTTGTTCTGATTTTCGCCCTCCAAACAGTTGCACAGCTTTTAGGCCTCAGTTTTGTGAACTTCTTCCCGACGTTCGTGTGGGCTGACCTTTGATAATTGTCTCTATCTGACATTATGTTTAAGCTTGACCCAGACACTCGGATTCTCCACGACAATCAGCTTACTACTCGCTGCGTCAGTCGCTATTGGAGTAGCATGGGATCATTTATACTTACAAGCCCATTGTAGGCCGCCATGGATAATCGCGAGTATTGTTTGTTGTCTGAGCGCATGGCATGCGGACAAAACTGGTGAAAGGTTTTACCACATCGCTGGATGGTGGTGGGGAGTCATCCTCGGCTTCATCATTGGATTATCGACGATGAATATAGCTGGACGATACATCGCAATGATCCTCATGGCCTGTGGATATGCTGGTGAGTTTATGTGTGATCTACAGAAGGGACTTAATCATCTGGCACCGCAATAAGGTTTCGCAATGAACCTCGTCTGGGTATCAAATGCAATAGCACGGCCACCAGCGTATGAAAACATATGCTACGCTATTAAAATTGGTCTGAATCTCGTCACAGAAAGCGCGCTGCGGCAATGGGAATAATCAATGGTATCGGAAACTTGGGGAACTTGTGCGCCACAGCTCAAACAGCTCTTTGCTGAATTATTAATCCTCTAATGTGCAGGATTGGATCATATACATGGAAAGCAGCGTGGGGCCCTGAATACCATCAATCAATGGCTATATCTCTTGCTGCCCTCGTATTCAGCACTCTCCTTGCATTAGGTACGCTAACGCGCCATCTTGCAAAATAAGGCTCACAAAATCTAACTCCTGTTACAATCTAGTCATAAGACAGATGCTTATTCGCAAAAACAAGCAGCTGGATGTCGATGAGAACGCCGCCCTCAAAGATGCTGATCGGACGAGAGTTGAAGAGGCGGCTCGTTTAGAAGGCCTTACATTCGAGCAAGCGATGGAAAGACGGAAAGGGTATCGATACCTCTACTGAATCGACTGATTCATGTCCAAGTTATAGCTCAAGTAAGGTTCCTATGAGCTTCAAATACGTTACGTTGATGTCCAGGTGCGGAGGCGAATATATCGAAAATATGTTCGTATGTAGCGAGTCCCGGTGAAGCTCCGATATTCTACCGTTGGATTCTTAGTGGATGTCGTTGAGTCAGAAAAACTTGATGATGCGGAGAACACGGAATATTTAACCACATTCCCAAAGAGCTTGGTGTTGCCCTTGACGGCCGCCGTATAATGGGCAATTGGCGCCGGTGACACATGGTTGGCCGGGTTTTCTTGTCCTCGTAGAGACATGTTCTCTAGAACACGACCCTATGACATTCGAGTCCCTGAATTCAACCCACATCAAGCTCACCTGCCACAGAAGTATCTGATAAGTAATAAGACCATGTAAACTTTCCTCATGTTTATGAACTACTTACCACCGTCCCGCCACCGATCAGATAAGTTGTTCTTGTAAACTCATCCATATCTCTCCTGAATCCTCTATTCTGGAAGCCAGTGGCTTCGTAGAGGGCTTTGGACTTCGAGTTATTATCGTGTACTTGGAGGAGAAGAATTTTCTTCTTTGTCTCCTTCAGGTCGACCCTAACTTTCTCCTTGACCGCATCGATCAGGAGTTTCCCCAGTCCCTGGCGTCGGTTCCACCAAAATCTATGGCGCTTCGTCATCGGTAAAAATGTGGTTGGGAGGGAGGTCATTCACCGCCCTCAGTATCTCAGGATTCAAAACTCCCTACGCAACTGATAACGAGCGTGGAAGGAATGTCACTCTTCCTGACATATCTAGGCGCGAGCGCCATTAATCCTTCGTGAATTTCGACTCCCGTTCGTATGTCGATCCAAAAGCGTGTGCTTCTGTTTTAAGTCCAAGCAGACATGCAATGGCATGATCCTCTTGGGTCGGAGGCAGAATTTCAAATATATCGTACGTCGACATGGTCGAGTCGAAGTGCTCCAGCGAGGTTAGTGACGAGGTACTAATAAGACAGAGGTTTTGTGCTTGAAGAAGTGACTCGACAGTTGCCAGGTTTGGTTGAGCTCTTCACACGGGGTATGAATGCTGTCATTCCCGAATTCCGTTGTATTGCAACGGGGATGCAACAGACGCTCCATCCCCTCTCTATGTACTACCGGCAAACCCGAAGCTATTGCCTAAGGCCCTGTGAGTAGCTTTAAACTTGGGTTAGGTTAGAGCAAGCTAGGAACTGGAAATCATAATCTTGGCGAGATATAGACAACTCCTTCTCGCCCATACATGATGATTGAAACTACTGTACTCGACGGTGCGAAGATTTTGGCGCCCTCTGTTCTATCCGTTAGCGATGATAATCGAAGGTAGCCAAGGCTAAATTCTGCGCCATAAAAATTACAGCAATATTCGCATTGAGAACGTAGGCAATTTGCCGAAGTCGCGCCATGACTATCTTTCTTTGTGTATTCTGTACATGTACATGGTCAGCTATGCTCATAGTTCTGAGCCACAGGACGTGGCAAGTACAAGGTGAGTATTACTATCTTAGCAGTGCGATCTCTCTTGTACAACGCTGACCACACAATTCCCATATCGTTTGCTCTCAGCTTTCCTAATATCTGCCACATCGTCCTGAGTGATATAGCTCAGCCTGTACTAAGAGTGTCATTTCACCTTTTGTTTCATTCTTCAATGATGGTTGTGTTTTACTTAGTACGTGAGCGTCTTTCCTCTCCAGGCCCGACAGCCATCCGAGCATACAAGGACTTTTAAGTCTCAAGACTTTCCACCTACATATAACTCTCCTCATTGGACACACACAGGTCGAGGAGTATCCAAAGCAAGCTTCATAAGACTCATCCACTTAGATGATATTTATATCTTGCACTTTCAACTTTTGCGCATGATAAGGGATATTCTACTACCGGCAGTATTGATCTCCAAGGACTACAGCTCTTTCGACATCTATAATATATTGCTTATGTGCGTACTACACCTCTGGATTTGAAGCATCCCACCAGAATTTATATGACATGTTCGAGTGTCCTTGTATGCCGCATGTTCCTCCTCCTTCGAGAACATGGGAGTCGGGATGTCCGTGTCGATGACATACTCCCGCACGAGAATCTTGTGGAATTCTCCACGCGAATGGATATATTCGTTTTTCAACAGGCAGGTATATCAGTGGATGAAGTATAACGAATCCTTGTTTACGAGTCGTGCTGAGCAAAATGCGGGGGGTTTGACCCTCCGCAATACTACGTCCGTCACCGTACTGTACAAGCTCTAATAGATCACCCCGTCCCTCACCTCGAAATTCCACCCCAGAGAGCGGTCTGGCTCATAGAAAGGAAAAAATATTGTATATTGCGGCGCACTCCGTATTTCGAAGGTGAATGATCAAACAGGCGATTATATCTAGAACGCCGTTGGCAGACTCTGTCTTTGATTTTCGCTGGTGATTCGATAAAGCGCTAGTCCTCCAAGACCAAGGCAAAGAAGTCGAAATATCACCAGTGGCCAATATTCTGTCGTCAGGTTATTGTACTTTGCTCCTAATCGATCGACGGAAGAGAAGATAGACCCCTTGAGATCGTCGAAGAGAGAATGAAAATAGAGGTAGCGATCGTCGGCGGGGCCTTGATAGCGAGTGAGAAAATGATAGCGGCAGGCAAGTAAAACGGATATCACCTTCCAGAAGTCCGTGAAAAATGAAGCTCAAGTTATAGAGGAGGGAAACGATGAGCTCGTGCAAAAGGAGAAGTGGAATGAGCACGCCAATGGGTCCAAAAAATATGGATAGTGATACAATGCTGACAACATGGGTATGGGTCACGACTAGAATTAAACGGGTTAGAAATGCAATATATCTTGCGAATATTAGATGTTGACGTACAAAGCCATTGCGCGGCATGAAACGCGTGAGCTGGCCATTCTGAAGGATGCTCAAATATAAGACGCAGGCCTTGAACTGAAACGCTCGTGGTTAATATGAAAAGCTGGATAAATTTTCAGGGCAATGAGACGCACGGAAATTCTGCCAAGTCAACCACTCCCAAAAATCCCGTAAGTGAGGCATTATGAAGTCACCTTTCGTTTTTCAGTGAGAAGGACAGGTCTAAGGACATAATCATCACTTACTGAAGTGTACCCAAATCCAATAAATCGCATACTGAATGACGCCTACGAGGTCAATGAGTTCTGCGTCCAAAGAGTCGCCTGGAGGCCGAGCCACCAGATACATGTAGCAAAGGTTGTATGGCGACCAAACTAGAATGGAAGAGGACAGACGTCTACCACGCAGTAGCTAAGCCTGCAGGATCGAGCATGGTCGGTGACGAAGGCTGGTTCGGATAGAGATGATTTCCCCAAATGGATATTGAGACTTTCATAATATATTATACATATATAATGCTATAAGGCAAAAACTACCAATTCGGGTATGGTGTAACGGCTAACATTGCCGCCTCTCATTCCAGCGCGCGGCAGCTCGGGGTTCGATTCCCCGTACCCGAACTTTTGTTTCACTGTCTCAAAACATCCTTCTTTCTTCCCTTTGTGCTCGCAATCTTTGTCCCACTTTTGTTTTGTTCCATTCAAAATCCTTCTATTCCAATTGTGGTACAACTTTTAATATGGTTTGATCTTCCTCCGTTCGTCCAATCAAACACTCCCAGAGCCCGGGATCTTTCCTGCCTGGTGGCCAACCACCCTCTCAATGACTCCCTTGACAAGATCGACATCAGGACGCTCGACATCAATGACACGTTTCTCCTTCTCAAGCAACCCGCGGAACTCTTCAGGTAGAACATCACGGTCGAAGTTGAATCGTGATGAGCCCTCAAGTGCGCGGGAGACGGCCTCCGAGAACTTCGCGGGGTGCGCAGTGGAAAGCACGATTTGACGGACGTTGGCAGCGCTAATACGGAATAAGGAATAGGTAAAACACCAAAGCAAGCTCAACTTACTTCTGTTTCGCGACAACGCCGGCAGTAGCGAGGCCGACGGCGGTATGGGGGTCAGCAATGTATGAGGCAGGTCCATTGAAGAACGATTGGATTGTAGCGAGGATCTACGGTCAAAGTGTCAGCGCTGGAATGATTGGACAGCGATGTGTGCAGTACCTCTTCGTCGGATATCCTCTCCGCAGAGAAGTCCTTCCTGGCTGAGTGCAGGACATTGGTGGGAAGCTCAACGCGACCGTCCGCCTTCATTGAGGACATCCAGCCGCTTAGCAGCTTACCAGCCTCGACCTCCTTCTCTGCTTGGTTTCCTTGCGCGTTCTCGAATGCGAGATACCAGAGTAGGCGCTCGAAGTTGCTCGAGACCAACACGTCCATCGCGGGGCTGAGTGTCTCCTTAACTCCAGAAGTTGCAGTTCCCTGCTTTCCATCAGATGATCCATCTGCGGGCGCTGTGGCGCCGGACGAGCCGTCGTCGCCTGTCACGGTCGAATCGACCTTCTCGTAGTTGCCGCTCTTCCAGAACCGCGCGAGGATGTCGTTCTCGTTAGTTGCGACGACCAACTTGGATATGGGGAGCCCCATCCGCTTGGCATAGTAGCCAGCCAAGATGTCGCCAAAGTTTCCTGTGGGCACAACGTACTCGATCGCGATGTCGTTGATGTCAGTGCCTGCTGGGAGCTGTGACTGGAGTTGGAAGTAGGAGAGGAAGTAGTAGACTGTCTGTGCGACGATGCGTGCCCAGTTGATCGAGTTGACGGCAGCGAGGCGGTGAGTGGAGTTGAACTCCCGATCAGCAAAGAGCGATTTGAGAATGTCCTGAACGTGCGTCAGGGTTGCAGTATATCAATCTTTGAGATTGTACGGACTTGGCAGTCATCAAACGTGCCCTTCACGGCAACATTGTGGACGTTTGCGTCGGTAACAGTAGTCATCTGCGCCTCTTGAATAGGAGATACACGACCTTTGGGATGGAGAATGAAGATCGACACGTTGGCCTTATTACGGAGACCGTATATAGCTGCACTACGAAGGAATTAGAGTAACGTGTGCTTAGAAGGATATACAACGTACCTTCCTGTATCTCCGCTGGTTGCACCAACTACGGTCAACTTCTCGGGCTCTGCACCATCAGCCTTGTTTGCATTACGACGAAGAAGGAAGAATTCGAAGAGATTTCCGACTAGCTGTAGGGCTACATCCTTGAATGCAAAAGTAGGCCCGTGGAACAGCTCCAAAACGAAAGTTTTATCGTCCAGCTTCTTCAGAGGAGTGACATCGGGATGCCGGAAGGTTTTGTAGGACTTCTCAACAAGTTGCCGGAGTTCGACTTGAGAGATCTCGTCCTTGGAGATGTAGAGGGATAGAACTGCGACCGATAGATCGACAAAAGAGTAATCTTTCCAGTCAGATTTCCAGTTTTGAGGGAGGGTTGGGATATGTTCTGGGATGTATAAGCCGCCGTTCGGTGCCAGGCCGGTCAGGACGGTCTGCGGAGATCAGAACATCAGACTAGAAAGAGATCAAGCAGATTGTGAAGAACCTCTTCAAAAGAAAGTCTCTCCTCGCTACCCCTCGTCGAGAAATACTTCATGGTTGTTAGAATGGAGGCAATTCGAGACTACCTGATCTTGTCGATCTTTCGGCTGACTCTTACGATTGCTTGGCTGAAGCTCCGATAATCAACATCCGAACGGCCGAAACAAAATTGGATAGCGCAAAGAGAAGGACCTCAGGAAATATACTGTGAGCCCAATACATTGTTAAGACATGACTTGGAGCTGTATGTATGTAAGAATTCCGGATCGGGTTGAAACGCCACTCACAAGACCTGATCATTATACTTTCAGAGTGACCATTCTCTTCTGCCCTCTTACTGCCTTCCTGCCAATCCCCCAGATCTTAAATTACCCCTTACAATTATATATGTATTGTAGTTGTTGTAGTTCCTCATCCGTTTACCCTGACCAGTCCACTGAGGACTTCTCAATTCATGTGCTCATTTGTGGCATCGTCACAGGGCCCAATTCAGCCAGTACTCTCTGGAGCGGACATAAATGCATTTCTGAGATATTGAAATGCCAGTGGTCATCCATAATGGTCATACCACCTTGCCTACGCAAGGCGTCACAACGCGGGTCCTCTGGATGACCTATCATCTTTTCACACGGGATTACCGCTCCAAAACCGAAAATTTCTTCAAAAATTCGCATGTAATTCACAACCTCGCAAGACCAACAGTACATACATCGAATGGCGAGGAGTTGAGCGGACTCCTTGAGCGGAATCCTTGAGCGGAACCATTGTGCCTGAAAACTGATCGAGGGATTAGATCACAACACACTATTGGTTGGATCCATAATTGCCCGATGGGGCCGTGGCAGTGCTCGGCGCTAGTAAGTTACAAAGCTGTCTTTATCCTTCCCATTGAATAGACAGCCAACTTTACTGTGGGCCAAGCGCCTGACACCGCACCATGACCTTTTCACTTACCACTATTATCCTATAAAAGTTGCCTCGTCTTGCCTCAATCGGTGTACCCACGTCGTCCCACCAACATGAACTTTCTACCTTCGCTCTTCTTCCTCCTCGTGTTGCTGCGCAGCACGCACGCACACATCGCACCATGGCACAAAGGTAGGCCCGCCTGTTGGCGTATTCGTCGAGCAAGGATCGATTTATTGACCTTCTTTACAGGAATGTATTGCCTCAACGGAACGTCTGGCACAGATGATCCCTCAACGAACGATGCGGTCAATCCACTGTACCAGGTATTTCAATAATTCACTCTTCCCTCGAATCTGAACTTACGGCCCCCAGCTATCCTTCAACGACTGGTGGATGCACCACGTCAATGGCGTGCGTGGTTGTCGGTATCATGATAGGCACCCCGGAACTGACTGACACTCTACCCACCCCTTAGTGCGATCAATTTCCTCCAGCCCCTGGAGATTTTCTCGAACTGTACGTACACTCAAATCCTCGAATTTTTTGTTTGTTTGAACAGCCTCCTTTCAGACCCGCCAATGGCGAATTTATGGTTGAACTGGCGATGAACCGCGCCTTTACCAGCCTTTCCTTCAATGGGGAATTCATTGGAACGTTCGCCGATGGTCAAGATCATCCAGGGCTTGGGGATACATCTCCTGGAGATATACCACAATGCATCACTGAGCCAAACAGTGCGTGATTTACGCTGGCTCTCAGTGCGATGATTTGACGGGCACGATTTGTAGTTCACACACAGAATCAAAGTCAGGCTGCCGGATCTGCGTTCGCCATTTCATACCAAGTACGTACCCTCTTGATGGCACATTGGGCGCAAAAGCATGTCTGACATTTCAATTCAGTCAGATATAACGCAAGTGACGCAAGAAAACCTGGTCGTATTCACTGTAGTATACAAGTGTGTTCTATTCTTTGTGCGCAGTTACGCTCTGGTCTAACGCAACGATCGAAGTACGCCGTGGGAACTCAACGCGACATTTTCTGTACCAAATCTTCCAGCCTGTCCTCCAGGCGGATGCATCTGTGCTGTAAGTGACACCACCGCAGCACTTTTCATATTGCTGATCTTTACGCTATATGCAGTGGGGCTGGGTTTGTTCCATCAATCCTCGGTGGTAAAATTGGACCGCTAACCATTCTATTTTCATCCCAACTTCAGGTTCCTAATGGGTAGGTCGCTCCCATTATGTTTCTATTCCAGTCCCATTCATTGTTGCCTCGTTTTTAGCTGCGGAACGCCCAACATGTACATGTTACCCCTGAAGTGCAGAGTGACGGGCCTCACAGGCAATGCTACGGTTGCTCCGGGTACTCCCGGGGTATGGTGCGAGGACGATCCGTCATCATGTCTCGTTGGTGCGAAACAGATGATATACTGGAATCAAGCCGAAGGGAACAACATTGTAGTCAGTGGTACCGATCTCGCCGGAGAGCCACGATCGCCAGCGTACAATACAAAACTGGGCTTCGCAAACGGTGGGTTTCTGTCCCACAAGCACTCCGGACATTGCCTCGTGCTGACATTGCTTGTGATTGACAATGACAGGTGCCCAGACAGATATCTTCCAGAAAGCTGGCACCGCCACGCAGACATCTATCGCCCCCGGTAGCCCTACATCCACGTCCAAGCCATCGAGCTCCTCGAGGCTTTCCGTCAACGCTGGCTGGCCTTACATGACACTGTTATCGGTGCTTGGGATGTTCCACTGCTCGCCTTGGTTTTGGCCGCTTTCCGTTTATGTTGTATGATCTGACGTTGTTGGATGATATATGTGCCCTATCGATGATATCACGGACATCGTAGATCATTGACTAGCTATGTGTTCTTCTCTACAGCATATAGAGTATTGAATGACGTGTTTCTCTCGAGAACTCTTTGAGCGTAATGCTTACCTTTCGAGAAATTCTGCCTGGAAATGCCTACATTCTAGACTTTTCGGGATTGATTATCGCAGAAAAATAATTCCGAATCCTCTAAATGATCCGTCGTGCGCCACAACATTGAACGAGGATCAAGAGCACTACAAGGGGATAGGAGCCAAGGGC